CCTTTCTTCTTTTCTTTTTCTTCGTCTTGTAAACAGCTGACATTCATATTGTTTTACATAGAAAAAGGTATTTAGTACAATATATACACATATGATTGGCTTTCTAGCTTATTGAAACTTCACTCACGAATTCAGACTGTTTCTTGCAATCTTTTAATCGTGTAAATCTTATTCTGTTTTCCGAAATTTTGTTCTCTTTATACACAGAAACGATAAGACACGTGATTTATGATATTAATTATCCCTCAGTAAGAACCTGACTAGAAATGAAAATAACTTCATATTCTTATGATTCATTATACATAGCATAGAAACTTGTAAACAAATAGATGATTATATCGTTGATCAATATTGTTAATTAAATAAATTAATTAAATCAAGAATCCTGTACAAAAAACGATGAAAAAATATAAGTGAGAATCTTGTCTGGTATGGCAAAAAAACAAGAACCTTGCAAGAAGGTGGATAAGATAGTCGACCAATGTATGTATGTTATTACAATACATATACACTTCATCTATCAGAACAATGACAGGGAAAAAGGAAAAAAATATCTTTTCTATCCTTTTTGCATATATTATGCTGGGATAAATCTAGAACAGTCAATAATACATACAATCTTCTTATTATGCTATTTTTAATCTGATTCTTAGAAATTTACATTGATGTCTTTTTTTCTCTCTATTTTTAGGGCAGATTGACTAAAGCATGTTTACATAATATGTCATTTCAAAGTCATAGTCAGCTGTACAAAAAAAATGCAGCTGATTACAGACAAATATGCAGTTGCTCGATATTCATTTGTTCAGACAACAAAATAAATGTTGTAAAAATTGAATGTTATTTACTGAATATTTTTATTGATGAATATCGCTGTGTTCTTTATCATCTTACTTGCCCGAATAGATTTATCCACTATAATTCGAATGTCTCTCACGAAAAAGTGAACTTTTGATAAACTTATCTTCACGCTGATTCCCTCGATGAATTCTCTCTTTTGACACTCTTCACTCATCTTTCGTAGGAAATCTATCTTTTTGCTTTTATATTTAATTAGACTTCATGTTTAAGATGCTAAAGCACTTTCTACTTTCTCTCATCATCAAAATCACATACTTTTTGATTGATAACAATTTCTGCAAAAATATGGTAATTTGTTTGTTGATGATGTTAAACCTTCATGACCATTGTATGTCCCCATCGTTTTTACTAAATAATTTCTAAAGATTTGTTCATCGTTTTAACCTTTCCAATGCGGAGAAAGATAAATCGAGTTAGCTGTTAATACCACCAGTGGGAATAAATTTTTCACTTTAATAATAGCAGATTTCATTCTTCATGAAGATTTTCATGTTTATGTATGCACATTCACACATATGTACATTTTACAAAATAAAAATGTTTTCTATCCCTACGCTTTTTTTCTTTCCACTTTTTCCATCATTTGTATTTGTATATATAGACCACATAGCTAGATATATATAGAGAGAGAGTATCTTTCTGAGAAGACATTGTCTTAAATTTCGCGTTCTTTATTCTCTCTCTCTCTCTTTCTATCTCTATCTATCTATTTATCTATCTATCTATCTATCATTTTGCTCATTTTGAATGGAGTGCACGATGGCTCTATCTTCTTGCCTGACATCGTCTTTGATAGTGAATGACATAACTGTCAAACAGCAACGCAAACAATATACTAGTTAAAATCAAACTTTATTACATATATAGTCTTTCTCTATATGAACGATAGATCTGTTTTGTCGGAGAAAAAAAATTCTCCGTTAAAATCGCGGCACTATTTCTCTATATTTTAAATTTTATGTCTTTAATACAAGTTGTGTTACTCTTCATGAGCGTGATAAGTGTACGAGGCGGCTACGTAACTTTCTAGTGGAGTGAAATTTTAGGACGGACTTTTGATATTTTGTTCTTATAGTTTTTCAACAAGTAACAGATAGAATTCTATGGTAAAATCTTTTCAGAATCTTTTTTTTTTTCAGAATACTTTTAAAATTATTTCGTTGAAAAACTCTAAAACCGACAAAATATCAAAAATTCGTTCTGAAATTTCTTCACTCCACTAGCACAGTTACGTGCCCCAGTCGTGTAAAATCATTTGAGAACAATACAACACCAGTTAATTAAGTACTTAATTAACCGGGTACTGAGTAATTTTTCGAACTATTTTTGAATGATCATGAACTGCAACACTTTAATTGCAACTTTGAGATTTTCAAAGACTAAAATGAATGTGATTTTGTTATGATATAACACTTTCATGATGAAGGAGGTAGAAATGACGCTTATAGTTTGCATTAAATGAAGATAAGATAGTTTCTGTAATATATGGCAGATACACGGGTTGATCTGTCATATCTCTCTTGTATAGATCTATTTTTTCGAGTTATCGTAAGATATGTCTGACTTATAAAAAACTGAATTCGTTTGTTTTTTAAAATTTCTGGTAGCTGATTATTATCTTGTTGACAAAACAAACTTCATGTGTGAGAATATAACATTTTACCAAAATACTAAATTTTTATTTTTGTTTTATTGGATGAGCATCATATGCCTGTCAAGCATCTGATGTGGAATCCAATCTTCGATTACAGTAACGATTGCGATTTCGTATATTTCTATCTTTCATGTGCACATGCATTCACCTTTGTGACCTCAAATTTGAAGTTAATTGCAAGCATTTCACGCTTATCAGTACAATATACTATGTTTGAAAGAAAAACATATGAATTCATCCTATCATCATTCCAAGTGGTTCAAGTACATTAAGAAAGCATTCTTTGTTTAACTATTACGTGAACTCTCAAGGTACGAACAAATGATTCACAGTTAGCCTGTTTTAATGTTTAGGTTCAGTACGTATGGAAATCTCAAGCCATATATAACATAAGGTAGTCAACACATAAACGAGCTCAACTAACAATTAGACTGTAGGAATTTAATCAATTTAATTTAATCAATTTAATTTAATTAATTTAATTTAATTAATCAAACTTATGTTTCGTACGAGTTAGAAATGTAATCAAAACGGAGCCAGTAATATAGGTGAGAGAATAAATATACGAGAAATTTGCATAGTCAATACACCGTTGGTGCCTATGGAATATTTTACTCATAAAACTCGTTCCACCAAATGTATTTTGATATAAGGTGAGCGTAATTCAAAATTCATTACTAAGTTGACTAATGTGTATTTCTAGCCTATCCGAATACCTTAATTTTTTCGAATTTTCACGTTGAGAAATTATCGAAATTTTCACCAAAAAATGAAAACCAACTAAAAATTTTGGAATACACATTAGTCGACTCAGTTTTTGATCCTGGCCCCGAATATGATATTTTTATTATATAAAAGATGAGTTCTGGTGGAGAAAATTGAGAATTACGAGCAGAATTCTGACTTTTTCACTTCTGATTTAGAAAAGAAATTTTTTCAGCAACGAAACAAAATTTAAAAAAAAACGAATTGTCCTTTTAAAGGCGAGCTTTCGCCGAATCCAATGAGGTACAAGTGATGGCTTCAATGCATAACACAAAAAATTAACAGGTCTACAAAATTGCATGCCCGCAATTTAGAGAGTTGGATAGGAACGTCCATGCTGGCTGGACAGGCTTTAAACTTCGAAATTGATCCAACAGCATTCTTCTACCCAGCTTTTAACGCTGAATAAAAAAAAAAACACTTTAAAAAATCCAGAAGAACAAACAAGACGAAAATTTGGATTGTTTTGATATTGAAGAAGTTTTCCAGTTTTTACATCCTTCAAGTATTGTCGAGTTTTTGACACGAAAAATATTTTTCAGAAATTAAAAACTACATATTCTTAATCAGCTCGATTAGTACTTGTGGGATAAGAACCGACTTTCAAAAAAAGATTGCTTTGTTCAATTTGGATGCCAACATAGGATTATATTGATTTGATAAATAGCTCAGAGTGTCGCTTCAGAAGTGGAGTCAAGCGAGCTCTTGATTTTCAGTGATGCGGGTATGATATCGAATTTTCGAAGAATTAGAATTCATAACTAGTGACGATGATAATATGGCTAGTTTTGTGTGCCAAAGTGATTATAAGAACGGAAAACTTGAAAAATTATGTTTTTGTCCAGAGACTTTTGAAAAAATCTTTCGAAAAATCATGAGTTCTCTAAATTCTCTGTTGTAGATTTTTTATGAATAGAATATAAAAGAGTATAAATACTGTACATCCTGAAGTTTTGAGCTCATTCTGATATTTTCGAGTGAATATTGAATTTTTTTATATTATGTGAAACAGACGAAAACTAATTTTTGAAAAACTTGGTTTTCGTTAAGTGTTAAAATATTTTTCTAAAAACAAATATTGCTACGAGACTCAGCATGATTGACTATCTAAAATCCACCCGTTTCCGAGATTACCAGAAATCAAGACAGTAGCTATCGAACAAGTGCTTCCAAAATAATTGCTCTCTTTGTATATTTTAGGTAAGTATTTTGCAGTAATTGAAAGGCTTTATGAACTGGTTATATTAAAATTCTTCATAATCACGAGCGGCTAGAGCAGAGTTGTCTTTCTTTTTATTGATTTTGTTAAAAATCATCGTTTTGAACTGCAGTTTTGGGCCAGTTAGGAAAATTTTATAACTCGTTCAAAAGCAAACATTTTGAGATTGAGTCTGTTTTACCTTAAAGTAGAATAATCCTTCTATTACATCCGAATATAGAAACTTCAATAGCTTCATTTCTTTTTGTATGCCAAGGCGAAAAAGTCAACTTCCTACTTTGCCTGTTGACTTTCGATAAAATCGCCTTTTGAGCCACCAAAAAACACGTTCATGGAATAGTGTTCAAAATAATCTTTTAGACAAATATGAAATGGACATCTACTTTGAACTACGCGTACTAAATACATGTGTTTCTTTTGCTTCTAACTAATTAATACCATTTTCTAAAACTCAATGGCGCTCAAAAATAAATCATTTAATTTCATACAAAAGTGTGCATCATGTTTGCCATATTAGCTGCTATTAGTAGTATTCGTGGTCTAAGAGCAAATCCACGCGAAGCATTAGTACATGAAAATTATACATGCATGGGCATTCGACGACCGATAACGCGAATTTATAGTGAAACGCTAGAAGATAAAGCGGCGAGACATAAATTAGCCGATAAAAGGCGTTTGGAACGTATCCATCGCCAAATTAAATTTGTACGATTAATGAAAAAACTGATGATTGAAGTTGAACAAAAAGAACGAGAGATGACGTTGAATGGTGGTAGTAATTTGGATTCAGAACGTTTGAGAGAACAAGTGAAAGTGACTTCAGAAAAAGTGGAGATGTATGCAAAAAGATACAATGTACCGTTTGAAGACGATTGGAATTTAAACAAAGAAGATGATAACTATGATCGTGATTTAAATGCCATTATTAGAAAAAAAATATTACTGTCAACATCACTACCATCCGATTCGAATACATCGATTATCTTTGATACTATGCCGAATAAATATAACATTATGTCGCAAGAAAAGCAAGGAGAAGATGAGTCAAGAAAAAATGAAAATTTCGATGGAGCAATGGGTGATAATCAGACAGTATCGACAACAATGACGAAGAAACCATTGATTATCAACTGAATAAATGAAGTGAATTCACATGGGTAAATACCACAGATTTTGCAATGAAAGCATCGTTTAAAAGTGTCAAAAATCAATCAGTTGATGATAAATGACAGTGATTATCTCATCGATTACGATTATTTCAGAGATCCTTATCTAAATTATATATTGTGACTTTTCATTCATCGAAAGCAGAGGCTACTCAATAAAAATAAGGCTATTCAATAAATAAATTGAGGCTAAATCAATAAATCTAAAAATGCATTCATTGATAAGTTTTGTACAACACCAGTCTCGACAAAATGTGAAACTTTCTTCTTTTTTAAAGTTTGGTAAAACAATGGCGTTTTTCTCAAAAGTGCTCAGAAACGCGGAAAGAAATAATAGCGTTTTGTTCCGTTTTCTTTCACATTTAGAAAAAACGCGATTTTCTTCATTTTACTTTTAAGTATGTCCTAAACATTGTATCTAAGCTTTCTCGTGTTTTAACTTCTGTTGCTGTTTTATTCTCAATCAATTTCTGATATACTGTTCCAATAACATCTCTCCTACATGAGTGTGGTGTATTGACTGCGTTTGTGAAACGCCTCCTAAGATTGCGAAGCAAAAGAGTTGAAGTAATATATTCTCAACTCTAGCGATTTTGCTGATTTTTTCACCCCCTCCCTCTTCTTGTAACGATCTTAAACTGCTATGGTAATGATCCTATAGGTCTAGAGGAATGATCTTGTCAGATTATAGTAATGATCTTACAAGACTACAAGAAAAACCTTAACGAGCTATCAGTAATGATCTTATAGAATCTTAGCAATGATCTTATGGACTCTCAGTGTAATACTCTTACAGAGTTCCGTAATGGTCTTCCGAGACTAAGGTAACCATCTTACGGAATGGCGTTAATGATACTTCTTGTTTTTTATTTCAGATACCTAAAAACGAATGAGCTTTACATTCGTTGTACAATATTTGCTCATTCTCCTTGCACACTGACGGCATCTGTGTTTTTGTAAAAGCCTTTTGTGAATATTTCAGTGTTATTGAAATATTATTAATAATTTTAATAATGTTTGATCAAAACGATTAACATTAAATTTTTTTGGAACCAGTAGACCAAATCCCCTTGTTAAATATTTTCGAATTGGTTACGCACCTACACGGGGCGCATGTTTGAAAATTAATCAAATAGAACGAAAACAATGTTAGACCTTTTAGTAGTATCGCTTTAGCATAAAACAGAAGTATATACGAATTCGATAAGAGTCTTATAAGAATCGTACTAAAACTTAAAAACAAGATTGATCTAGGGTGTTTAGATGCGGTTTTCAAAATGAGAAAAAAAGTTTTTGAAAGCGAAATTCATGTAGACTTTTGAGATATCATACCACAGTTCTTAACTACTTTCGTTTAGAAAAAAAAGCAGTTACGTAGTCTTATTTCTAGGGAGCAAGATAATACGCCGTATTCAGAGATTCATAAATAATATGGGAAATACATTAACTAACAAATAGACCTAAATTTTTTAATATCAAAGCAGGCGATACAGATTTACAACCATCAAGTCTTTGCAGCATTTGGTAAATGTCTTTTGGGCAAACATGGATAAAACTTTGTTCTAACTTCTGAAAGATAATCAATCGTAGTATCTTGGATTCTGGGACTGATCCACATGCAAACAGTAGTCAAATGATTATTTAATATGTCAAATTTTCTGTTCACATCTAAAATAACATTATTGTTCTTATCCCGCAAAAATCGAATTGTGAGCATCGTTCTCTACCTACACTGTAATTTGGAATTAATTTCTAGTTTATAGAAAATTGATCTGGAAAATCGTGGAGCTTTTTCTGATATTTATAAAATGCTTCTAGATTTTCTGACTTTTTAGAAATTCGCGATTTTCTATTTTCTAGAAAATCGATTCGATTTTCTATAAATAATTCCCAAGATTCTTGAAATTCGAAATCGATTTTCTAAGATGCAATGAGTCATTTTGTTAACCTTAACTTTGACAGCCGTATATATATGAAGCTTTTAATATCAGTTATCCAAATAATAGGAAAATGACTCTTCAAATAGCCAATGGTGTTCTATTTAAATCAAGAGATTTTAATTTGTCGCTTGGTTCTCAATGTTTTCTGGAATCAGTAAGTTTAGAGAAGTTAAAATATCTGTTAAGTGAACACGAGATAAGGTTAGAGTAAGATCTAAATAATAATCACCAAATGAACAGACACTGTTTGACCTTATCATCTTTGTACC